AGGTGCATTGTTGACATGACTGGTTTTGAAAATGTTTCTGGAAAGAGCCTACCTTGATTATTTGGGTGGTTGGAGGAAGAAGAAGTTTGAAGTCCCAAAAGTGGAGGTCAGAGGTTCTTACTTGAGTCTTTGTCAAAAGGGGACAAAGAAAAGGATGTGATCAGGAGCTCTACCCATATAAAGGGTATGGATGTCTCTACTAAAAAAGAAAAGAAAAAAAATAAAGAAAGAATAATAGGCAGTAGTGACATAAAGAGGTAGGATCCATAGAACAAAGGACTTAAAAATGTTTGTTAAAAAGGCACACTTGCAGGCAAGACTCAGGTTAATATTATTGTTAGCTTTCTTTTAGTCACCAAGTTCAAAACACCCAACCAGAACTGGCCCATGGAAAAGAGTGTTTGGCTACCCCTCCCACAGCTGTCTGATATACTGCATGGACTCCACTGTCCTTCACATTGCCCATCAGATTGGCCTGGTTTTAGGCTCTCAGAAAAAGAATAATTTAGGAATTCTTTTTCACTTAACCAGATAAGAAAAGCATAAGTTAACTGGACAATGGTGGGACTAGAAAAGGGAACATGAGAAGCACTTTTGGGGTAGAAACGAACTTACTAATAGGAAACTCATTCCTAATAACCAGTTTTTGATAATGATTATCTACCCTTTTCAACCACTTCTTCAAAGGATGAACTTGGTATTTCTGGTTTGAAAAGCAGTTTAGCTTCTCATTGCTTCTCTGGTCTTTTCCTACTATGTTTGCTGTATTTGATTGTAGTTTTATAAAGACAGGCCTTGAAAACATGTGTGGCATTTGCTGTTTAATGTGTAGCTCTGGCCAAGATATGTGGATAAGATGCACTTTTTTCAGATTTTTTTCCTTTAATCTTCCAACAAAGATTGGTCCCAACTTTTCATGCACACTCCTTATGTTATCCAAATATCTTTGCCAATCTTTTCACATGCTATTTTTGGCCAGTGTTCTACTTAAAAGATCACTGAAAAAATATGCTTTTTTGTTTGTTTGTTTACCATCTAAAGAAAAACTGATGTGATTGAGGTTGGCTTTATCAGCTCAAGGATTTTTGGATGACTAGATCTCTTTCTGATTCCCTCTCCAACCATTCCCTTTCTGATTCTGCTACCCCTCCATGAAACTGAAAACTCACAATGTTCAAACATATAGACTTATTTTGGATTGTTTTTTACTTAACTAATCAAAATATTATTCCATGGGTATTATTTCATGTTAGTACCCAGTGAAACTTTTATATGTCTATTTCCCCTTAGTAACAAGAAATCACATTTTCTCCAAAACAATAAACATTCATAGGCAAGCAGCTGAGACTATACATTTGAATCCTTTGTAACCCTGGCTTTCTAATACAGTTACTTAGCCCAATCACAAAAATAAATAAGTAAATAAACCAAATTTCTTTCTACCCCCTTCTCAATATTCAACTTCTGGAGTTTAGAGTTTTGTCTACTTTGTGCTTTGACTCTGTATTCTCAAATTCCTATTCATTCTATTCCAAATAGCTGTAGGATTCCACTTAAATCCTCTCAGGTTTTTTTCACAGCTGTAATAGGAACACTGAGGTCATTTCCAGGCTAATCCTGCTGCTTAATATGTGAGAATGTCCTCATCACACCACCCCCTCCCAATTATTTTTAAACTCAGTTCTTCAAAGTAAAAAAAATAATGATAACAGTTTCAGTTCCAGGTCCCCATGGAATGTTAGCTCCAATAGAAGTAAACACGCTAAAAGCTGCCTTTTTCTCTTTATCCTTCGTAGGAATGGCATTTTTAAACATGAGCTTGTGTAGACATTGAACAGTCTCCACATGGAAATGAATGGTTTGATTAAAGGTTATGTAATATCTTAGTTCTTGGAATTCTGCATAAAGCTGGAGATATTCTTCACTGTAGGTTTTGTGCCTTCTTTGACTACTTTGAAAAATGGTTCAAAAAAGCAGAGGGAATAAATGGTATTCTCAAAATAGTTACTTGATTGTATAGGTGTGTGTGTCACAGAGGATACTGATGTGTTGAGAATGAGGAATTAGAAGAGAATGTGGAGATAAGGAGGAATGTATTAAAGCAGCATCTTCCTGTGGCCCTATTATTATATTCATTGATGCAGTTTCTTGGTTAAAATCAGGTTTCGAGTACTGCATTCGCATTGCAGCCTAAGGAATAGGATTCTGTATTATCTGTGCACAATGTTTTCTTCATTTGCATTTATATTTAGATAAGCACGGGTTAAACTGAATACATTTAAGCAAGGATGATATTTTAACTGCTTTCAATATAAAAAGCACGGGGACAGATTCTCATGGATGTACATTAAAGAGGGGGGAAATATCTTTATTTTAAGGATACAAGTAGAATTTAGACTCAGTAAATTATTTTAGCTTCAGATGTAGCATTCCTCTCAGCACAATCTCTTCTCTTTAACTATCATTCTTTTTGAGGCAAATATTTACAGAGCACAGAATTATATTTCTAGCTTTCCAACAGCATGTCATACATTGAAATATTGATGGGACACAGTTAGAAGTTGGGCCCTCTGGACTTGTATTGTGTGATGGCATTGTGCTGCTATCATCAGGAGATTCCATTTTTTCCAACCCCCAAGGTCCTGTCTATACTTGTTTACAGGTCATCTGGAGAGTAACTAGTATGTGTTCAGCAGCATGAGTGTTATCATGGTAACCTTGGCAACAGAGCTAACTCTGATTTCAAAATATCACATGCTGTATCATAAAATTAGAAAATGGAATTGACATTTAGCAACATGTCTGACACAAATTAAGCCCTGAGAATGATTTCCTTTATAGTCACATACCTTAATATGGAAAGAGAAGGCGCCAATTAGAACAATTTTATACAAATACATATTATTCCACTTTTAAGTGCTAAATACATTTCCTCAATTCTTTCTCTATAAAATTGAACCTCGGATATTGCCATATTATTCTCCAAAATTCATGTTGGCTTTATTTTATAATCAGGATGAAGCTTACAGCAGAGCTACATAAGATATCCGATATAAATAGGATTATGAATAATAGAAAACTTAGCTCCTAAAAAAAATGTAAAATTCAAAGCACTCTTGGCTTTACTGGGTACTGTTATTTATGCTGATTAAAAGTAAGACTGCACAGAATATTCTAATAAATCAGAACCCCAAAAACAAGACATGCCTCCCTTTCATTTTTATATTTATGAATATTTTACACATATTTCCCAGTAGCCAAGAATCTTTGAAAATATCTATTTCAAGGACACTACACATGCAGATTAATACATTTATCTACTTTGAGTCCTAGGTCATCTTTTGTGATTTATAAATATTTTAATCTCAGCATTTTTCTCTATATTTGCTTTGATATATATATATATATATATATAGAGAGAGAGAGAGAGAGAGAGAGAGAGAGAGAGTGTTAACTTGTGATTTACATTTATTGTAAGCACTCTGCAGTTCTATACCTTGCAAATGATTATTTTTAGAAATTTTATGGTTGCATGGATATATTTTTTGTCTTTATTTATATGTAGGGGGAAGCTCATTAATGATTTAAAAGAAGGTGTTTTGATTAAATTTATTCCTAGTATTTTTTTAAGCAATTGTGAATGAGATTGTTGTTTTAGTTTCCCTTTTTGATAGTTCATAATTAGTATACAAAAATGCAATTGATTTCTGGATATCTATTTTGTATCCTGTTACTTTATTGAATTCTGGACCCTTGAATTTTCTGCTCAGGTGGTAAATATTACAGGCAGAATTTCAATATATGTTTCTTTCAGGTCCCCATGGAATGTTAGCTCCTCCTCTTTGTACTAATTCCTTTCTAATTTCCAACATATATAAATTTTCCTTTATTTGAGCTAAAAAAATAAAAAATTAAATATGGTATTTTGATTAATCAACTTGATTCTTCTCATTATATAACAATAAAGGCAATAAATTAGCATCTAATAAAATTATAAGAGTTTATTTCTGAATTTAGCTGCAAGATAATCTTGAATCCTTGGGCATAAGTTTTCCTATTCCTATACTCTCCTGCCTCAATGTTCTCAAAGTCATCATTGAGCCTGTTTCAACCTAGAATGATAGTTTATAATTCTTCTTAAAGATACCTTTTAGCAACTATCTGTCAAACACCATAATGGAACAACTGTCTTGTAAAACAGTTCTTTGGCTTCTAGAATGGTAAGTTGTTATATAAAAATGAAAGATCTTTATGTCAAAATTGACTATAAAGCAATTTTTCTTTTCCCCATCTACCTGCTATGTTTCATAAATAATATTGAGAAATCCGCTTCCAACATTTTCTCATCTTATTATCCATCCATGTAACTCTTGCTATTTTCATGTTGAGCACTACCTTCTTAGCTTATACCTGGTAAAGAGTCAAAATCCCTGCAAATTCAGAACCAGATAAGTGGTTGTGCTCTCCACTCATATGCTGAAGTGGGAAGAAGGTAGAAATCCTTCTGAGCATTTGCCACTCTGTACAGTAAATACCTGTTGTGTTTTCAGTATTGTTTAAACGCTTTGCTTTATCTCATTGGGTTGAGTCATCACCACCTTTATGTTTTAACTGCTAAAAGGTAGTTTGTATTGTTTTCTATTATCTTGAAACTATTTCTTGTGATGAACAGAAATAGTTCAGCATGTTGTGGTTCCAGGACTGAGTCAAGCTTAAGTCACCATCTATACTATAGAATAGCATCACTGGAAACTTGTCAATGCATAGACATTCTGCAGTGCAATGTGGACATGAACTTGGGCTGTGCTGGTGCTGGACTGTGGGGGCTTATCAGGCTCTTTGCATGACTCCAAGATGTAGTTTAATATCTAATCTCTCTCTTTTTTTATTATGACATGATCATTGGCATTAGATGGATGGGAGTGGGGAGGAACTTTAATGATAAAAGAAAAAAGTGAAAAGGTGATGCAGTGTTGTTTATTTTTTTTATTCCCTTTTAGGTCTGATGTTGTGGTCCTCTGCTTTTCTATTGCTAATCCCAACTCCCTAAATCATGTGAAAACCATGTGGTATCAAGAAATCAAGCACTTTTGCCCCCGCACACCTGTTGTCCTAGTTGGCTGCCAGCTAGATCTTCGATATGCTGATCTTGAAGCTGTTAATCGAGCCCGACGCCCTTTAGCAAGGTAAGCCAAGGGACTCGGTGTTTCTCTGTGCTGGCCAAATTAAACTGTAAAGGTTGTAGCTGTCTCTGCAGCCTGGCATTCTGTTCTCTAACAGCCTTAGGACCCCTTCCACCAGCCATACTCTTTCACTCAGCTTATTCAGCATGAGGGGACGTGTCCCAACCCTTCTCACGGTGATATCACCTCTCCGGGAGAAACCCATTTCACTAAATGGTTGGCCAGTGCTTGACGTGAATTCTCTAATTATGACATTGTGTAGAGAACAGTGCTTTGAAATTTGTAAAGTATTAAACAAAATGTTAGGTACTCATAATGTCATTCTTGAAATTATGATTATAATAAAGTTAAATAACAGAGTGATCAGCACAATTTTGGACCCAGGATCATCAGGTTTATACACATATACAAGTCCAAGGTTTATAATCTCATTTTCCTCAATCCAACCTCTGAGAGTATTTCATTCCCAAAATGACAGTGTCCGGCTTTAAAAATCATATGGATCTATAGTTGCAAAACAACACCTTTTTAAATGTTTCTAGTGGCTATATTTTAATGTGTCACAAGTTTAAAAATCAACTTGAAGGAGAATTTTTATTTTTTTAAATATATTTTATTTAATTGAGAGGAATTGAGAGGGATAGAGAGTTAGAAACATCATGAGAGAGAAACATCGACCAGCTGCCTCCTTCACACCCCCCACTGGGGGTGTGCCCGCAACCAAAGTACGTGCCCTTGACCGGAATCGAACCCGGGACCTTTCAGTCCGCAGGCCTACACTCTATCCACTGAGCCAAACCGGTTTTGGCTGAAGGAGAATTTTTAAATGTGGATACTAATTTTGGGGGGGTGGCAATAAGAGTTTTTAAAAACCTATGTTCCTTCAATATTCCCTTTACAAAAATAATTTTATGTGTTTTATGTAAGTGCATTTTTTTCTGAAGAGCATATCAAAATGTTGATATTAATACCTTCCTTCAATATTTGCTAATGTGCTTGTTACAAAAATTTATCTGGTTACAATTTTTTATGCTCTCACAACAAAAGCAAATGTTGTTTTGTTTAACTAATTTCTGATGTTCTGGGTACATTTTGGATACATTTTCTGAAAACATATCATGTAAAATTTTCACAATCATTCTGTTCTTAAATAGATGGCCTCTGAGTTGAGTATTAGAAGCCACATACAGGACTTATAGTGAATAAAAGACTGCCTGGCCTCAGAACTTCCTGTATAAAAGAATAGATTAAGATGATCAGGCCTTATAACCATGGACATGTGGAGGACTGGGGGAGAGTTAGGGAGCTCTAGAGGACAGGAAGGGGACACGCCCTTCTACAGAGCAGTAATGAGGTTGCATAAAGGAGGTGATATTTGAGCTTAACCTTGAAAAGTGTCATAAGTTAGTGATCTTCCAGTCAGTCCCGAAAATAAGGAGCACAAAATGCCCCCAGAAACAAACCTTGATGTTCCACTTTCTTTTCTATACGTCCCTTCCACTTTTGCAGCACCCTACAGTTGATTCTCAGTTTTTCAATCCAGGTTTTCAAATCCAAATTCTGCCTACTATTATCTTATTTCCCCTAAGACTAGTGCCTGTCACTCACATTACCTTTGGTCTTGAAAGCCAAATGTTTATGTAGGAAGATAAATTCTAATAGTGTGTCTCAAAATCAAGTATGCATTTATAACAGGTCACATCTTACCTATGTTCTGGAATCCATCTGTGTCTTTGCTGTGGTTATGCTATAATCCCAGAACTATTCCATCACACTGCTTCCAAAGGTTTGGCCTCCCTGGGTTTGATTAGATTGCAAATTGGTGTCATGTGCCAGCCCAAAGGATGTAGAACTTTGTTGAACAAAACAAAAAAAAAATGTTTTTTCAGGAACTTTGTGGAACCAGAAGAAAAATAAATATATATTTTTTGTTAATCCTTACCTGAGGATATTTTTCTCCATTGTTTTTTAGAGAGAGAGTGAAAAGGAGGAAGGGAGGGGGGAAGAGAGAGCGAGAGAGCCTAATGCACTTGTCTAGGCAAAAAGGTGATGTGGTCCTGACTCAAGAGGGTGAAAGAAAAAAGAAGGGAAAGATGTGAAAGATTTACAAATCTAATTACTGAGAACATAATGAGCTTTTGGATGGTGACCATTTAACTAGTTTAGAACTAGGGAGTTCTAGACTCTTATTGCTTAGTAGAGGTCTCTCAGCAATTTGCAAATGTGACTTTAGGCAAACCCTTTAAACTCTCTGCTTTGGTTTCTTTAGAATGTAGAATGAAAATAATTCCCATAGGGTTATGGTGAGGCTCAGATAAATATGGACTCATTTTAAAGATATAAAGCAAAATTTAGTGATGATGAAGATGAAGATGATGAAGGTGGTCAGGATGATAACCATTAACATTTATCAAGCATAGTGGACCAGGTACTTTGCTAAGCATATTATCTCATTTAAACCTCTCAACAGTCTTTGAAGATATAGGTACTCATTATTATTATTTCTCTTTTAGAGTTTGGAGAACCAAGGCTTAAAGAGATTAACTTTCTTTCCCAAGATCAAATAGTAAATTGCTGTTACTTCAGTTATTGTGGTTACTACTGAAAGCATTTTTCCCCTATAATCATAAGTCCTTTGTATTTTAAAGATGGGTTGGCAATATATTTTTTTCAAGAGCCTTTTTAAAAGCTTTAGTAGGCCCAGCCAGTGTGGTTCAGTGGTTGAGCATCAATCTATGCACCTGAAGGTCATGGTTTAATTCTGGTCAGAGCACATGACCAGGTTGAGGGCCCTATCCTCAGAGGGGGACATGCAGGAGGCAACCAATTCTCTCTCAGCATTTATGTTTCTGTCTCTTTCTCTCTCCCTCTTCCTCTCTGAAATCAATAAAATATATATATATATATATATATATATATATCTTTAAAATAAAAGCTTGAGAAGAATTTTAAATTATGATTCAATTGGGACCTTAGGTAGACCCTGCCTACTATATTTACTTTTCTAAAATAAAGCCGATAATAATGTTTATTCTATTCCAGGCCCATAAAGAGAGGAGATATCCTGCCCCCTGAGAAAGGCCGAGAGGTTGCAAAGGAATTGGGCATCCCATACTACGAGACGAGCGTCTTTGATCAATTTGGAATCAAGGACGTGTTTGACAACGCAATCCGGGCCGCGCTGATTTCCCGCCGGCACTTGCAGTTCTGGAAATCCCACCTCAAGAAAGTTCAGAAACCTTTACTTCAGGCACCGTTCCTACCTCCAAAAGCCCCCCCACCGGTCATCAAGGTCCCAGAGTGTCCCTCCACGGGGACGAGCGAAGCTGCCTGTTTACTGGACAATCCTCTGTGTGCCGACGTCCTGTTCGTCCTCCAGGACCAGGAGCACATCTTTGCACACCGAATTTACCTCGCTACCTCCTCTTCCAAATTTTATGATCTTTTTCTAATGGAATGTGAAGAAACTCCAAACGGGAGTGAAGTTACTTGTGAGAAGGAGAAGCAGAGCCGGGATGTCCAGGAGCAGGCATGGAGTGTTGTTGACCCAGATGAGGAGCTGCAGGAGGGTACCCCAAGGACGCCTCAGGCTGACCAGTGTGAGTCCCTCAGCCAGAACCTATCCCAGCAGGAGATTCTCAAGCTGGAAGCCGAGGGCTCGATCCCGGAGACACAGGCACTGGCAGGCTGGAGTAAGGGGTTTATTGGCATGCACAAGGAAATGCAAGTCAATCCCATTTCAAAGCGGTTGGGCCCCGTGACCGTGGTCAGGATGGACTCATCGGTCCAGTCGGGCCCTTTTCGGACCCTGCTCCAGTTTCTTTACACGGGGCAACTGGATGAAAAGGAGAAGGACTTGGTGGGCCTGGCTCAGATGGCAGAGATCCTGGAGATGTTTGACTTGAGGATGATGGTGGAGAACATCATGAACAATGAAGCCTTCATGAACCAGGAGATTACAAAAGCGTTTCACGTCAGGAAGGCCAATCGCATAAAAGAGTGTCTTAGCAAGGGGACGTTCTCAGGTGAGCAGGGCCAGTGGCCAAGTCGCAGACACCTTTGTTGTGTTTTATCAAACCTTAGTCAGACATGAACGGGGTGGGGGGGAGACATGACTGCCCCTAACATGGATGAGTATTTATGTTTTCCCACATGCCTAAGTTACATGTATTTACTTATTTATCTCATATCAGACTTAAGTGCTAAATATTATTAGCTATATTTTTCAGATAGGATAATTGAGGGACACAGACAATTAGGTAATTTGCCCATGGTTACACAGGTAATAAAGATAGACCCGGGATTTGAACCCAAGCTTTCCCCTAAAGTGCCAGGGTATCACAGTGCTTCCAAGGATGGGTCAGATTACCCCTGAGCCTGAGCCAGTCAGCTTAATGCTCACAGTTCTCCTTCAGGATTCCTTCCTGAGCAACTCTGTTCCCTGCTGGCCCTTCAGCAACGATTCATAACCAAAATCAAAGACCTCTTATCCTGAGGCACTGAAATCCTTGAGGCAATTTTGGTGACCCCCTGCATTCCCATCAGGGATGCCTCATCTCTTCCCACCCCCCCTTTTTCTTTTTTGTTCTCACACTCTTTTCTTGTTCCTCCTTTGTCTTTGACAACTAAGCATATCTGCCCTCAGTGTCCTTACATAATTGCTTAAGCACACTGGTGGCCTATATCCAGGATGGGTTACATACCCATGTTTGTACTGTCTTCTATCTTGTACTATTTTTGTTTTGCAGTTGTCCTGTGTGTGTGTGGTGTGTGTGTGTGTGTGTGTGTGTGTGTGTGTGTGTGTGTGTGATTTCGACTTCCTAACTTCTGATAATATGTATACTTCATTTGTATCTTTATCTTTCATAATGCCTGCCAAGATATATACATTTAGTAAGTGGTTACTGAGTCTGTTCATAACTTTTAAAACTTATGAGTAATATTTACTCCAAACATTGACCATCATGATATAAAAGCAGTCATGTAAGTTAATGGGGGGAAAATGTTCAAAGCTGCAGCAGATTAAACAGTGGGCCTTAAGTAAAGTTCATGAAATCACGCTCTCCTTACTGCAGAAGCATAATGAACAAATACAGCAGGAAAGCCTCAAGTGAATTCTATTTAAGTGGGGGGAAAGCTATAAAATACAGTTTATAGATAATTAGAAAATTTTTAATATGAACCAGATAGGAGATGATATTAGGGAATTATTTTTAATTTTTTTAGAAGTAATGATTATCTAGGAGAATGTTCTTATTTTTAGAAACTCGATATAGTAGGAATGAAGTGTAATACTATCTGTTAAAAAAAAGTCTCTATATAAAAAGTAATATGTACACATATAGCTGAAGCAAACATGGCAAATATTAAGTGTGATAAATGAATTATTGTATTATTCTTACCACTTGTAATTTTTTGAAATTGTTCATAATAGGGAAGAAAAAATATTCCTCTTTTATGTGTCCTTATGGTTCTGAGAAGTTGTGTTGTGACACTGTGTGTAAATGCTTACTCCTTAATCCTTGGAGAACATGGAGAGAATTGGGTGTGCCACGGGCGGGACACAAAACCAATCGGTAAAACTATGGAAGAGAGAGGACAAGAGACTTAGATGGATGAATATGGGTGCAACTCTCAATGAGGCTGGCTCATGGTGGTGTTTTCTCCATCCCTGGGCAGATGTGACATTTAAGTTGGATGATGGAGCCATCAGTGCCCACAAACCGCTGCTGATCTGTAGCTGCCAATGGATGGCTGCCATGTTCGGGGGGTCATTCGTGGAAAGCGCCAACAGTGAGGTACGTGCCTTCCAAAAAGCCTAAGTGAGTGTTCATGAGCGCGCGTGTGTATTTATATAAAGTGTGTATTTGTATGAAGTGTTTTATTAGCCAGATGACTTTGCTGCTTTAACTCCTTCCGTGAAATATTCCTTAGGTAGTGTCTGTGTGTCAGGTCACCCTCTTCTTCAATCTGCAATTGTGAGGAGCATTGATTAGCGGTCACTTGTTATGAATGAGCACCTAAGTGCTTTCCGTGCCTATCCTTTCACCCCCGGAGCTCTCCTCTGCCCTGAAAACATGATCAGCTGTAGTTGGTCATAGATGTCTCCAGGCGTATTATCAAAGGCATATATAAGAGGGACTGAACCTGTCTTTCCAAAGTTTAGGACAGTGAAATGTGTCTTCAGTCACTAATGTCCTAAGCTCAGCTCTGGCCCTAAACAGAGAGGGGAACTCAAGAAGCCAACTCTGTGTGCCATAGTCTCATCTGCAAGATGAGGGATGCACGGGATTGCCCTTGAGGTCCCCTTAAGCTGTGACTCTCTTTGTGGCTCTGCCCTAACTTGCCTCCTCCGAGGTTTATCAACAGTAAGGAAACAGTAATAAAGCAAATGGTTACTCCTCTGAACACCTCTCTCAGAGTGCTTAGGTCTAGTGCAGTGGTTAGGAAACTGTGGCTCTCAAGCCACATGCAGCTCGCAAACCGTGGTTTGCTGCTCTATTGATGAGTTTGCCTACCACTGGTTTAGAGGACTCCACTTATCACAGACACATACATACTATCTTTATATTCATTAAAGAATATTCTAAACACATGATCCCGGACGAGCCCCCATATGTTACACCCAGACTTCGTGATCCCCAAGGACCACCAGGGAGCCGAGTCAGATGCAATAAACAAAAGAGCCTTTACCATGCTAGCATGGGCCCCCCCATTCATGCCGGCAGCATGGCGGAAGAGCGAGAATTTCTTCCAGTCCAGGGGTTTTATTCTGGTCGATGGTGATGTCCCTGCCTCGGCTAACCCTGATTGGTTGGGTGAGGGCTAGGGATAACTCCGCCCTGCGGGGCAGAGTCGGGAGCTCATCCTCGCCCCGCCCTGCCCTCTCACTGTGCATAAAAACTTTTAGGTCCATGCTTTTAGCCATGCAGTGGCCCTCCAGTACCCCAGAAGAAAGTATAGACCAGTGGTCAGCAAACCCATTAGTCAACAGAGCCACAATTGGCTCACTAGCCGCAGTTTGCCAACCACTGGTCTAGTGGAAGCCCCTGGGCTAGTGTCAGATGCTGGCCTTATCTCCAAAAGAGGGAGCACTCTCTAGAGCAGAAAAAGTTGTACCTCAGAGACCCTGTATCTTCATCTTTTTACATGCTCAGTTGGAAAAGAAATGAAAATTTTATTCAAACACTTCTAACTTTAGCCTAGAGGTGAGCAAGCATTTTTGTTCAGTTTTACAAGTATTTTTGACCATCCCCCCCCTTTTTTTTTTAAGAAAAAACATGGGGACACCCCATCAAGTTGATTGTCCTAAGAGGCTTGCTTTGTTTATCTCAGCAACTCTCCAAACTTTAAAAAGAAATACCGAAAACAATGGCTAACTTTTGGAAAGGGTTGCTCACACCAGAAATCTGAGCACTCCCATTGTGACCCGGAGCCTGCATTTGCATCCCCAAGTAGGGAAACAGAATCCTATAATCACAAGCTGGAATGGCCAGGACCTGAGAGGTCACTGGGCCAGCCCCCTGCCTCCAGAACAAACTGCAGGTGCTGCTAAGCCAACCCGCAGCACAAAGGCTGTCTGCTGTTTGGAGAAAAGCATTGGAATTATCCTAATGACCTCTCCTAGCTTCGTTCAGCCATTGTAAATCAGGAGCTCCTCACTGTGTGACAATGAAAAAGGCCCTGTGCTGTCAGAGGTTTCTGGGGAGTTATTTTGGAGACTCCTGCAGCCTGTGGAGACCACCCAGTGAAGGAGCAAGCTCTCTCTGCAAGCTTGAGGCCTTGAGCCAGTGATCACCCTTCTGAGTTCCCATCTCCCTATCTGGAAATCATGATAATAAGCCATAGTGTGGTCATGAGGTATAAGAATGAATACTTGCAAAGCACCGCATCAACTTTACATAAATGGTAGCTGTCAGTAGTCTTATTTTGAAGTCAGCAGTGTTGATATATTTTGTCTCTCAAAAAAAAAAAAAGTGAGGAAGCCACTGATTAATAAAACTTCATCCTAAAGGCATTCCACTGACTTCAGTGCTCTCTAGATAGGAGCCCAGAGGCTCACTTCCCTTCTTTCTCCAGCTCACTGCTATAGTGCCGGTGGTGCTGTAGCGCCAGCGATTAACCTAGAAGGGAGAAGCTGATCAAGGTCGGGGACCCAGGCACAGAGAGACACTGTGGAGCTGACCTCACAAATGCTAATCTCCTTTATCCCTTCCCAGAATGGACTGTAATTGTCTCCAGATTAAAATGTGCAGGAGAGGTGACCAAAGCAAAACCTTGGCAGCAAATGTGAATGTGGTGACTGTGCACGTATGTGGCTGTTTAGTAACCTCCCTTGGAGATGGCCACCTGTTGAGCACTCCCCCAGAAAGTGAGGGTCGCTCACCACTTAGAGCTGTAGCTAAGGCTAATAACAGGTGTGTTTTGATTCAACCAGCTCAAAAGACAAGACCCTGGAACCAAGCAACCAAAGGTCTGTGCCGAAATTCCTCTAGTCAATATATGGCAAATGCCATGTGCACAGGCATTCCTGCCCTTTCCTGCTCCTCCTCTTTATATCCAGTATAGATGGTGATAGTTCTGTAGTTTTGAACTCCTGTCTCAGCTCAACCTTAGGCAAGTGGCCAGCCTCTCTAAATATGTGTCCTCGTCTGTAAAATGGGGATAACAGAGAAGGGGAGAACCTTCTTTACAGGGCAGGCAAGGCAGGAGAGAGTGTGCATAAAGCATTGAATTTGGTGTCTAGAACATTTAAGAATCATTAGTGACTATTATCCGACCTAAATGATTCTTGTGCTTTCTAATCAGGATTTAAATATCTTTGTCCCCTGAAAACCCTATGTTAAAGCCCCCAGTTTCCTTCCTGGTAGAGGTGGTTTTGGGAGTAGGGAAGAGCACTCAAGCACCCAGTAAATGCTCCAGAATTTATTTGGATCCCTATTTGCATTTGGGATTTGTCTTTTCTAGGCCACCTTTTAACTCTATTTTTTCTTGTAAAAATCTGACTTCCCAATCCAAAATTCAGTCTATTTTTTTTTTGCATTAATAGAATTCACATGCAAATTCAGAAAAGAATAAAATGTGCCCATTGATATTCCTTTTACTTTTTTGTCATTTAATATCTAAGACAACACTATTTTACTTATATTTTTCTCATTACTTTTAATACAGCAGTAAGCATAATTCTCTCCCCAGAGGTTCGCAGCAAATGGTTTATTAAAAATGCATGCCAGGGTTGTAGTAAGCAATGCTCTGGATCTACAATACTTTCTCATTCTCTAGGAGACTGTCTCTAATTATAAACCTAATAGTCTGAGCTGATCTTTGCAATTAAAATTTTAAACCATCTAAACTGGAATGTGGCATGTTGTTTAGGGATAGCATTATATTCTTTTATTACTCTCTTTTTTGAAGCTACATCAAGCAGGTACAATACAAAATTCTTAATTCCATTTCTTATGTCACTTTATATTATTTTTAATAATACAAAATGGTTTCTCCATAGTTAAACAGTTATGTTGTAAATGTTGAAATCATATAAACAGGCTTTTAAAAAAAAAAAACAATGAATATGAGGGGAAGAAATATGTGCTCTGAAGGTGTTTTTAGTTTATTCTTATTTGCTGGTTACTTCCAAAAGTCCCTAACATTATTTTCCAAAAAGGACCATCACTTCAAAAAAATATTAATACCATTTAGCAAGCAGGAAGCAACATATGATTACAAATGTCAAAACATTCCAAAGACATTGAGAGTTTTGGGGGCTGCCTGCTGGACTCTGCCATCTCCTCCCAGAAATATATATTTTTTTAATTTAGAATTAAATTAAACATAGTATATGTTTTTACTATGCTGCATTTTGCCATGACTTAGAACAGACTCTTACAAAGAAAAAGAAAAACTTGCTAAAGTAATCGGAATATTGTGGAAATCCATGATCTCAGTAAAGAATAACAAACTTCAGATATCATCGATCCCAAATTTCTCCCCTATAACAGATGAGGCAACTGGGAGTCATAGAAGGTGAATGATTTGTCAGACCTCACAACGGCATTGTAGTGACATCCCTGGCCTGCCCTCTTGCCCTGTCCTTCAAGCCCTTATTTTTAGAAACAGCAGACATCCTTCTCTCTGAGAGAGCAAGAGTTTACAGGAAGCCCTTGGACTTTTTATATTACCATCACTAACACCTTTAGCAGTTGGCACTTTATAAAATATGCACTGTACTTTGCAAATCAAAATGGCTCCACTTTTATAGTTTTACAACTTAAGTAGCCTTCCATTATCTTCCAAAATCTAATCCAAACACCACTTTTGAGAGATAAAATTTTGCCATGTGCTCACACATACAGAAACAATCGGATTCTAGAAATAAATTCATGTCTGTATAAGGTAAATGCATGTGTACATAAACATGTCTACCTATATAAGCATGCACACAAGTACAACCAGTGTTAGATTCACTGGAATAGCAATTAATAACAATACAAGGGCTTTTTTATTTCAAAATAATATTAGTAATATTTCTACTTGCCAAGTTCTATATGCTGCAGAGGTTATGCTAGAAATTTGCAATGGTCACACCTGTTCAATCATGGATGGTAATAACTCACATACCTTATTTATGGAATAATAATTGTTTCCACTGACTATACCCGAAGGAAGCAGAGGAGATAAATATTTCTAGGATTTTATGAGCCTTTCCTTTGATGCATTAATTCCCTCTCTGAGGTGGCTGGTGGCTGTACAAGACAATAATATAGAAGGTTGCTATGCTTGAAACAATTCTGGAAGAACTAGAACACATTAGACAGGAGAGGGAGGGGAAAGAAAAAAATTTGATATGTAGTATAGATAAAATTAGACATGTATATGTTTATACTATGCTGTAAAGAGAGGCTTATTAAATATAAGAATTAAGAAGTATATAACTACTCATCCTTTTGAACTCAAAAATCTAATTCTTAAAAATTAGTAATGAAAGATATTTTATATAACCCAAACCTTTGCTTCCTTTGCCATGAGGAATTCCCAACACTGCACAGCAGTTCTGAACACGGACTTTAGAATTATATTCCCTGGATCCAAATCTCAGTCACTACTCACTAGCTCTGTGACCTTGGATATGGAACTTAACCTCCCTAAACCTCAATTTCCTTATCGGTAAAGTATCAGAAATAATCATCCCTTCCTGCGTGTGAAAAGCTTAGCACAGTATCTTGTGCTTAGGAGACCTTCAATTGGGTTCATTTTTGTTATCATCATTTCAGAAGTAAATACCAGCGCCCATTTCATGCAGTTAGAGACCTGCAGTGAAGAGCAGCTGCTGTGCAGTGTAGATCCCACGGATCCATGCCCCACCCAGCCATCCAGAACTCCCTGGCTGCCTAGCAGACTCCAGCATGCATTCATTTATATGGGCAATAGCCACAGGTACTCAGAAGGGAGATTAGGGGAATCCTACAGGGGAGAGGTCACCATACCAACCAGCTATTCCCCCCAGAAATCCCAGGCAAAGATTTCTCTGCATTTTCTCAATCTACTGACACCTGGTAATGTTTCAGTAGTTCTGAATCTATGTGGTTGTGCCATTGGAAAAATAATTATCATATTAGCGTATTTCGATAGAAAGCTGGAATCAAGCCAGTCACTGTGGCATCTCGAGTGGCTGCATATCCTCTGCTTTGACATCTTAGAGATCTGGGTTCTACCGTGTGTCAGCAACAGTGTGGTTTGCAGCTCCCCCCAACACCTGTCATGTTGCTAGGAGATTTCTTTCCCCACAGTAGAGTATTATAAGGTACTTGGCAAGGAGGGCCCATAATGTCATCTTACATTCACATCCCATTTGTCTGATTTATAAATCCAAACAGCCATTTAAAAATTCCAAATCAGGCTTTGTCAGGCAGCCCCACGCTTTTGTCATCTACAAATCAAACTGTTGTGTGTAAAGCTGTAAATAGTGAATGACTTCTCTACACAGCCGCAAAGCAGGCGTTCCAGACTCGCCAATATCGAGTAATGCAGTTGGGATGTTTATAAGCAGTATAGCCTAAAAATGCGCCCACTGCTTTCTTCATCAGAACTCAGATTTCCAAATACCATTTCAGGTGTATCTCCCGAACATAAACAAGATGTCAATGCAGGCAGTACTGGATTATCTCTATACTAAGCAGTTGTCACCCAACTTGGACCTGGACCCACTGGAATTAATTGCCTTGGCGAACAGATTCTGCCTGCCACACTTGGTTGCACTTGCAGGTAAGGCTGATGACTCAGGCCATGTGGTGTCTGACTGTCATATCAAATTCAGGTTTAAATAAAAGTAAGATTTCCAGGGATTAAAAATTAATTTTTTATCATCCATTATAAGACAGTCTTATATAGGATGATATGAACTGATCAAATGTATCAGAGAGCCCAATTCAATAGATATTTTCAAGCACCTCCTTTGTGGTAAGGACTGTTAGGTAATGCAAATATAAAAAAATGGATAGTGCATGGCCGATCCCCTCATGGCCCATGCTCTCTGCCTGCTACCTCATTTGTGGACCATGGAATCTGAAATAACACTATTGTGTCCATGTCACCTTCATAATGTGTGTCCAGACACAGTCTTTAAGAAACAGGCTATAGAAGGCAGTGGTTAAGAACATAGGCTACCCAGCCAGATTGCTTGGGTTCACATTTTGTCTACAACATTTACTGACTTCTGGCTTGACTTATCTGCTCTGTCTCAGTTCTCACTCTCTTTAAAATGGGGAAAATGGTATTCTTTCACGGAGCTCTAGGGAAGTTTAAAGAGTTAAGATGTGTGTATATATAAAGTCCTTAGAACAGTGTCTAGTCCTAGTCAGCATTATGTAAGTGGTTTTCCTAAAGCTATTTTAGAAAATGTTCTGACATTGTCAAGATCATTTTGGGAGAAAGAATGAAAAAAGAAAAAGGAAGACTTGGCTTAGCTTCTCAAAATCTTATGTATCATTTGTAGATTTGTTCAGTGGGTAAGCTAAAGCAGGTCTAAATAGGACATAGGCATTCAAATACCTTCTACTTACATTTAAACCTTCAGCTTTATTCACCAGCAGTGTCAGTTAGCAAGCCATCTGGGTGTTTATCACTACATTTAGTTTATTCCTGTTTAACCGTGAAAGCGAAGATAGTGCCTGTTTTGTCTACTGGTTTATTCTCTGCACTCAGAAAAGTGCCTGAGGATGTTAGGTTCTCAATAAATATTTGTTGAATCATTAAATGAATGAAAATGAATGTATGAGCAAACCAACCAGTTTGCTGTGCTTGATTTTCTGTCATGTCTGTGCTTGATTTTCTGTCAGTGTCTTTAGGAAAAAGATTTATTTCTCTGTACTCCATGTTTCTACTATATGCAGCCAACAGGAGGTCAGAGTCCTCCCCTCCCCTGCCTTCTTTCTCAGTGAGATAGCAAGAGATAGTTGAAGCATAGCTAGCTAATACTTTTAAAATATATTTATTTCAGAAAGGAAGGGAGATAGAGAAATAGAAACATCAATGGTGAGAGAGAATTACTGATCAGATGCCTCCTACATGCCTTGCACAGGAGATTGAGCCCACAATCTGGGCATATGCCCTGACCAGGAATCAAACTGTGACCTCTGGTTCGTAGTTCAACACTCAATCACTAAGCCATACCAGCCAGGCACCAGCTGAGTTTTAAAAAACTGTTTTTAACTAATACACCTGAAGTCATAGGTCTAAATGAGTAGATACTACTTTTTAAATAGTAACTAGGAAGCAATAATACACAGTGTCCTTTTTCAGAGTTATGAGTTTCAAACCACTTGACTATTTTTCCAAGTATTTGTCCTTTGAGGACAAATTTGATTTTTTTTTTTTTTAACAGAAGCAATTTGGAGCCAAATCTATTGAACAGGGTTTGTCACCAATTTCAGCAAACTTTCATTTTTGCTTAACTATTAAGTGTGGTGATAAAAACCTGGGACTGATTTCTCCATGAAAGAAACTGACCCAGAGAAACCCTTCCCTATGAACTATAGAATTTCTCTGTTTAGTTTTGTTATTAAATACTATTATTACTGTTATAATCATTTAGTGTACTAGAGGCCTGGTGCACAAAATTTGTGCATAGGGGGTGGGGAGGTCCCTTAGCCCGGCCTGCACCTTCTTTAATCCAAGTCCCCTCAGGGGATGTTTGACTGCTGGTTTAGGCCCAATCTGTAACTGCTTTCCCCTGCTGGCCTGATAGCCCCTAACTGCCTCTGTCTTGGCTCCTGCCACCATGGCTTTGTCTAGAACAGTGTTTCCCAAAGTGTGGTACTCGTACCCCCAGGGGTACTGGAAGAGTTTGATGGGGGTACGCTTTGCACCGGAGTCTGGTGGGGATATGCAATGCACTGTGCTTAGCTGTGCCTAATTCTACATTCTCATGAGTACGAGGGGTACTCAGCGTTACGAAAATTATAGAAGGGGTACACATTTGTCAAAAGTTTGGGAAACACTGGTCTAGAAGGATGTCTGGAAGATGTCTGGTCTAATTAGCATATTACCCTTATATTAGTATAGATAGCTTCCTAAGATGATTCCTCTAATCATTTATATTGTTTGGTGTATACTTTTTAGTGTAACGATAGAGTGTTTAGAATCTTGTTTAAAAATCAGCTTCTGGGGTGAAAAATGCTTTGCAAGCCAAAGTGTTGAATGAATATCAAGGAATGGTGAGGTTACCTCAAATTAAAAAGCCTGATGACTTCTCTGGGAAATTTAGTTCCAAATAGCTCTTATTTTTCAAGTGAGCTGAGGAAGGGTTTGCAAAAGAAACCCACTGAAATCTAGATAACTTACTGACCAGATAGAGGCATATTGACTAACAAGGATGTAGAGCCAGAGCAGAAAGTAAGCATGATTCAGCAATATAGTGGATTAGAAGAACAGATGCAATGGTACAAATGAAAAAAAAACACATAGTAACATCAAGGAGCTAGAAATGCAGGGCCTAGACTACCCACTCTCTATCAGTCCCAGAGGCAGGTGACAGCCTAAATGGAAGCAAGACAGCTCAGTCTCAGAACCACAATTTAAATTCAGGTTTGAAACCTTGAACATGGCTCATAAGCAGAAATAGTTTTCCCAACTGGATTAGTGTTACTTCTGGTTGACAGTCATTAGCATCTAAGGGATTGAGCAATATGTGGTTCATCTGCAGCTGTTAAGATAGACATATGCATTCACATTTTTTAAAATTGATTTCAGAGAGGAAGGGAGAGGGAGAGAGAGATAGAAACATCAATGATGAGAAAGAATCATTGATCAGCTGCCTCCTGCAAGCCCCTTATTGGGGATGGAGCCTTTAACCTGGCATATACCCTGACCTGGAATTGAACCCTGACCTCCTGATTCATAGGTCAATGCTCAGCCGCTAAGCCAGGCAGCATTCACATTTTTAATTCCCCATATGAACTCGTTCCTGTTACTCACTCTCTCCACTTCAGAAAGTGTTGAGATTTGGAGCAAGGTGAATGAGGAAAGTGTCAAACAGGAAGATACTAAGAGTCTAGAGGATTCTGGACTGTTTAGAGCAGCATATCCAATGGTGATGGGGATGCTGTGCATCTGCCTTGTCCAAAACTCATGTGGCTATTGAGCACTTAAAAGTGGCTAAAATTGTGGCTAAGGAGCTGGGTTTTTTATTTCATTTAAGTTTAAATTAATTGAAACTTAAATAGTCTCATGGCCAGAAGTTACCATACTGGACAGTGAAGGTCTGTAGGGATCTGGCTCTTTCAGAATTGCTAACTAGTATCCTCAGAGTCATAGGTGCAATGGCTGGAGACCAAACTCTATACTGAAGGGCCTCACATCAGAATGGACCTTAGGTTCAGTTAGGATGGCTGTTAGAGCTGTGCACCATACTCCCTCCCTTCTTAGGAGGCCCAAGACCAGACCCAGTCCTCCAGGTAAGATGTCTGACTTGCAGAGGATGGTCTAACTTTCTCCTGTCCCTCTCTTCCCCAGAGCAGCACGCAGTTCAGGAGCTGACCAAGGCTGCTATGAGTGGTGAGGGCATTGATGGAGAAGTGCTCTCTTATTTGGAGTTGGCCCAGGTTTGTAACAATTTGCTTTTCACCTTTTTAATGTGTTCAATTCATTCATTTAATGCTGATAAAACATTCCACTGTTGCATCTGTCTAAATAAAGATGTCACCACCGAGTCACAGAGGCCCCCTGTGTACACTTGGAAGATCTGAGAGTTTTACATTTCATGCACCATTCACCCCGCTGGGCTTCCTTTGAAAAAGCAACAAGGACCTAACCCCCACACCAGCTCCATTGTCCCCCGAGGCATCAGCTTTTGCATGCAAGAGAACTTGGGGCAGTCAGAGGAGGGATTTGTCTTTTGTTTGTAAAATTCTTGGACACTTATTGGCCAAGAATTGTTTCTAGGATACCATGAAGTCCCACTAGGCCCCATGTTTCACGGTGGCTCTCCAGGGTTTTCTAAAATCAGTATTTGCTAACATTGATATTGTGATTCTGTCATCCCAATAAATATGTGCACTAAGCGTGGGGACAGGTGGGTGGGACCCTGATCTGTTGCATTTCCTAATTCCCATGGTACAAATTTACCAGCTGGCCAATTTTTAACAACATGAAGTCACCAAATGAAGAGTAGGGAAAAAATATCCACAGTTGACTCTCCTGAAAAAGAACAAGCCAACTGCAATATAGCACTATCTTAATCCTACTTTCAGAAAGAAATCTAATACCAAGAGAAATTGGAAGCACCAGTTAAAACTGTCCATGAGGTTGGTGTTGTGATTTTCAAAGAGTTTCTTGCATTTGTTCCTGAGGCCTTTGGCTTTACTCATGGCCTTTGTTCAAGGCCATGTGGGCCCCAGAAGAAGCCAGGCTGTAGGTTTCAGGGTCTCGTCTAATCCAAGAAACTTCAAGAGCAACAGAGAGAATGGATGTCTGAGAAGGGGTATAGACCAAAGTGTGAGAGATGGGAGGAGACCTTTCATGTTTGGGGAAAGAATGGGGAGCTGTCTTTTTTTGAGCATTGGGTCTTATTCCATCACAGCCATCTCAGTGCCACCTCCCTGACCACCTACTCAAAAAAGGAGGGGTGGGGCGTTCGGATCCCTTCCATCATGCCCCCACTGCCTGCTCTTCTTATGTAACCAAAGGACAGGTATAGGACAGCCACACATTCCACGGTCTCCTCTTTCAGATCTTTGGCTCCGCAAGCTGAGCTCTGACATGCGACACGGAGTATTGCGTTGCCCGGGCTTCCTTAAACAGAGATGACATCGCTGTTTTCTGGTGTTGGCTGGTGCCATTCAGAGGCCATGCCACTTATCACACTAGAGGGCCAGTGGCAGGGTATGGGAGGGCAGGCGTACTTTAAACTCCTGATCTGATACAGTGATTATTTTTGGTGCACCTATTACTGGGGATAAGGGAGGGGTGTGCCAAAGGCTATACTTGGCTGGAATAGACCACAGCCAAAGCCAGGACAAGGTGTTTACTGAATTAGTAGACAGGCCTGTATTTCTCTCCCCACTACAGTGGTTTCCTATTTGTTTGTATCCCCACTTTATTAAAAAAAAAAAAAAAAAAAAAAAAAAGAGGCACACCCATTTTTGCTCACTTCCTTGCAGTTCCACAATGCCCACCAGCTGGCTGCCTGGTGCCTGCACCACATCTGCACCAACTACAACAGTGTTTGTTCCAAGTTTCGCAAGGAGATCAAATCGAAATCCGCAGGTGAGACTTCGGGGTCCCCATTCATCCAATTCTTATCTCCTCTAACTGAGTCAATACCCTACTTGCCCTTGAGAAGGAACATGGGCCACAGGAAGCTCCTGGAGAAATTCTGGTGACTGGCTGGTGGTCACATATCCCTGTGACATGACACAGGGATTGTAGGCTAGGGATTCTCTTTGGAGGACTTTGTGTTTGGAGAGGTTTGGGCAGAGCGGGGCTCATGGGGTGCTGCTGCAGAGCATGCCGAGGTTGTCAGCTCAGCCTCGTCTAGGGAGGCAGGCATGGGAGCTTACACTAAATCAAGTGATCCTAGTGAAAGGTTAGGGCAAGTGATTCTACTACTCAAGACTTCAGTATCACCCAGCTGGCATGGCTCAGTGGTTGAGCACTGCCCCAGGTCATGGTTTGATTCCTGGTGAGTTCACATGCCCAGTGGGGAGCGTGCAGAAGGCAGCTGGTAAATGATTCTCTCTCATCATTGATATTTCTCTCTCTCCCTCTATCTTCCTCTCTGAATTCAATAAGAATATATTTTTTAAAAGAAAAGAAAAAATAACTTTTGTGTCACAATCTGAAAAAGGTCCTAATATTGGCCCAGCACATCAGTTAATCATGTGCATGGATAGTAATCATGCATGTGAGCATTAAACAGAGAACCTAGCTCATAGAAGCAATTGATGCATGAACCACGGTATGATCATCCACCCCTTTCTTTCACCAGACAACCAAGAATACTTTGAGCGCCACCGGTGGCCCCCCGTGTGGTACCTGAAGGAAGAAGACCACTACCAGCGGGTGAAAAGAGAAAGAGAGAAGGAAGATATTGCACTAAATAAACATCACTCAAGACGAAAGTGGTGCTTCTGGAATTCATCTCCAGCAGTTGCCTGAGGAGGAAAAGTCAGTAATCCATCACACCCTTTTGAAAGCAGTACTGTACGATTAGTCTTATTATTAGCGATAAGCTGTAGTTCAGGTTTCAGGCACTGGTCTCCCTCCACTTTTGTGCATTTATCTGGCTGGGATCAAAGCACAAGCTCACCATCAATGAGCCTGGACAAAAGGGAAGCTGACAATGCTCATTGCATTCCTTAAATTTACATCTATATTTTTTGTTAGAAGGCTTAATAAACCTTAGTCCATTTGGGGTGTTTTTTGTTTTGTTTTGTTTTGTTTTGTTTTCTCATTTCTTTTTATACAAAGAGAAAAAAAAACCCAGCTTTCATGTTGCAAATTCCAAATTGGAAAATATTTTTATATGGTCTCTTGTACTTTGTTGAAATGAAACTACTATGTATTACTTTATTTTACAGGCCACAAATTAACCATGAAGTCGCCCTCTGATTCTCTGTCCCCACACGATCACGGAGTGTTATTACATAATTAGAGGGTTAGCCTTTTGTGAAGTAAAGGTTTGGAATAAAACTCCCCAAAGTGCAAGTTAGAGAGTGTTTAATCTTTGTTCTGCCGACTAACACTGTTATAATTACCAAGTCAACTCCAAGAACGTGTATTTACATTATTTGTCGTGTAAGGGCAAGTAATTATATGGTTATGTGTGCCATGTAAAATATAGTGATATCAAATCTTCTGTTGTTTAAAATGTCTAGTTTCAAGAGGATAATCTTTCTAATCATTAGAAGGGCTTATTAAATCCCAGCATTATTCAGGGCAAACTCACTGGTGGACCTGAATACAAAAGATACCATAAGAGTATTGGTGTTTGGATTGCTGTATTAGGGTCTATGTCTCTCAGTATTCATTGATCTCGTCATGCTTCTGCATGCTGAGTCTCTACTGACTTGAATCTAGTTGGGTAAGGGCAAGGGTCCCACCATCTACAGGCTTGTCACATCTCACCACCAGAAACAAGCTTCCTCAGGTCTCTCACCTGTGGCCAACTTCACTTGTAAGACACGTATTTTTAATTCTTCCCAGGGAAAACTCATGTTGCTGCAGAAGTAGGCTAAGGAAGGTAGACCACCCAACCCAGGCTGAAATTCAGCGGGGCCTATGAAGGCGCAAAGCTGGAGGCTAGGTCATCTGGGGTCCCTGTATTCTCCAATGTAGACAGGAATCTTATTCCAAAAGTCTAGGAAATGGTGCTATTGTGAGTTTGTTCTGACCCCTTGTCATTCTGAGTTTTCACTGTTAAAATAGAAAGCACTGAGCCAGGGAGCTTCCGAAAGGCAGTCAATCATTGCTTCTCTGTGAATTAAAGTGTTGCAGCGCTCACACAACGCATTTTAAGGCCACAGCTCCATCTCTGCCATGGGACGCGATGCGGTGGAAGCTTGGGCTTATTCTGTTGGGAGGTCAACTACTGATGCTAAAGGTTGTGGATTTGTATTTTGTTTGGTTTGGTTTTTTCTAGCTTTCAGAACTTGGAACAGAGACAGTAGAGTCCCAATGTTGACAGTCATGCGTTTGAAAATCCATCTAGATTATAGATACGCATTTATTACTGACAGTGGAAACACACCAGATACAAGAGTTTGGAGAAGTCCAGAAATGCATCACCCTTTCATGACAAGGGCTGGGAGGGGGAGGGGACAGTAGCGTACAGAGAGATGGCTGTAAATGCATCTGCTTTAATTTTTTTGTCAATAGAGTTGTGAATCGTTAATGGAAGGAGAAGGGACAGAGAATGAGAGGATAAATGCCAGGACTCAGGAAGAATCAGCATATATCCTGTCACTTAATGGTAGAGGCTGAGTTTTCAATGTGCAGTCAGAGTTGAATTTTACACAACCAAAGCTCCCGCTTGATTGTAATCTTGCCAAAAACACAATGGACATATAAATGAACCTGGGGTAAAAGCAATAATACACTAGTGTTATCAGCTACTCTAACCAAGTGGCTGGTTCATTTGGTTGATGCTGACTATTGCCTTTAACCATGATGGTTTTGTGTTTTTTATTTCACAAAAAGCCAATAAAATTGTTTAGCTATAAAATGCCTCCAATTTGTTTTTTATTAAGGACTACCATTATCATGAGTGTAATATTAATAGCTTTTTAAAAAACTAAGGTGCTGGGTCATGGGGTCTGGGTGCTCCAGTAACAAGGCAGCTGGGAGGACTATCATCCTTGTTTTAGGCACTGCCAGCCATGATATAAATGAGAAGTCTAACTCTTTGCTCTTGGCTAATACAGTTATGTCACTAGACACAGTGCAGCTCTGGAAAAAACAAATGATGTGTCTATTTTAATGGACTTATTATAACCTGGGTTTGGGCAGTCTGCCAGCAATTAAGTGAAAGGCTGCATCAGTGGACTCATGAAAATCAGTCTTTTCAGAAGCATGTCTGAGAAAGCCTTTAGAAAATGTGTAAACAATTTCTGGACTTCTAGGTGGTATAATGTTTGCCCAAGCTCAGATGGAAGAAGAGTCTCCAGTGGGATCTCATAAGGGACTTTTCTGAGTGGCAAATTTTCTAAAACTCTGTGGAAAGAATTTGACTACTAAATAAATAAATAAATAAATAAATAAATAAATAAATAAATAACTGTAGAAAAAGGCTATGAAATTTCCAGCACATTTTCATACCTTTTGGTAGATGGTACAAATCATGGCACCTTTTACATAATGCATAGCAATGGAGTCTTACCTATAGAAAATCTTCATCTAAGTTTCTCCTAAGGCAATGCCTGACAAATCCCCAAGAATTTCAACACCCTATATTGGCACTATAGGAACCACAAATCCTACTGGTTTTGAGATAACAAGTAATTTCATTACGGACATTCAAGAATAAGAATCCAATGTTTCTAAAATTTCTTTTTTGCATTTGCTTCCACTGTATGATATATCAGTTGTCAAAATTCAGTTTTTCATCATGGCAACGTTAACCAAGTAATGCATTCTACTAATCAGAGGGGGGAAGGGAAGGAGTGAGTCACAAGTTTGGAAACTATTTTGTGAATTCCACATTTCTAAAATGAATGCTTTTCTGCCTGCTTAAGATTTACCAGGCTTTTTCTTGAATTTGGTTAGTAGCAATAATTTATTTTTTTCCTAGAAGAATGTGACCATTTCATTTTAAGAAGTTAGCCAGGGAGACTGTGTTTGTTGTGTATGAATGTGCGTGTGTTTAAGTAATCCAAAACCAGCATCATGGAAAAAATAAAGGCTAAGAGCAATAAAAAAGAAAAAGAGAAAGAAGGGCCTCTAACAGAAACCATAGAAGTAGAATTGAAGACCCTGAGCCACAGATGTCCTCTCTTTCTTTTAAAAATGCTAATTACTCTATATCCCATGACAATTTATTTTCAGATGAAGACTTGTTCTCTTGCATTTCCAATTAGGCAGCTGATATATGCAACATAAAAATGCACAGGTGTGGCAACACTGGTGACCTCTGACCAAAATAATGTTTCAGAAGCAAAGCCATTCCCTTTGGCTGCACCCTATGCTGATAGTACCTCTAAACTGGGCATTTTTAGATAAGTCATTTAGATGCATGGTTTCTCACTGGGTTCATGGGCAGGTGCCTCATCAGTTACATATTTACAGACTATAGTCTACAAAATAGGGAAATCATTTAGTAGCAGATAACTCCTGGGTAGAAGTTAATGAATCATATATAGTCACACATGCACAGACATGGGAGTGTTAGAAACAACAGAAGACATGAAGTGACTTGCCAGCAACTCACCATTTCTCTAAAAATAACATTTTAGTCACATGGAATTCCAATAGAATTTAGATGAAATGGGTAATATATAAATTCTTTGAGCCTGAATACATTCTCCACTCCTAAGACACGACCGGTTATATCTTTCAGCCATTCAATGAAGAAAGAACTTGGTTAATTTATCTCTGCTTGGTTGCCAACCAAAGTTTTGACATTTTTCTTATTTTCTCCCAATCTGATAAAAGAAACATCCTTTTGGTTGGGTGATTCACGGTAGTCTCAACTGGAATGATAATACCCAGTTGAATGTTAAGTTTAACTGTTGTGTGAAAAGACACAGCTCTCTAAACTTAAGTTATCTAAAAAATAAGAACAGGTTTTTTGGTGCAGATGAAATGATTTAGGTAAAGCACAGTGCCTAGCATGTAAACGAACCTGTGTACTAAGCGTGTTGACTAGCAAGGCAAGAAACCCGAGAGAGAAGACAATGCTCAAAATAGAACCATGTGGTCTTTTTCTGTCATTCTTTTAAACCAAACACCGACCTTGCAGTTTAGTGCATCATAACAGATTAAAATTAGAAAACAAAAGCTATAATAATAAAAGTGTAATATGCTAATTAGACTGGACAGCCAAATGACCTTCCAGATGAAGCTGGGGCCGTCAGGGCCAAGGCAAGGCACCAAGGCTGCAAGGGCCCAGCCCCTTGCACAAATTTCATGCATTGGGCCTCTAGTGGGAAAATAAGAAAAAAATAGGCTGTGAGAAAAGGCAGGTAGGTGGTGGGAGGATAGAAGAGAGTATGACACTTTCCAAGAGGATGTTCCTCCTCCCTGGGCCCCCATTGTTTGTAGAATAGGGCTGCCACCGAACTTGGCTGAGGTCTGAGTCACTTGAAATACTTCCTTCTTTACTTTCATTTTTTAAAATATTGATTTTTTACAGAGAGGAAGAGAGAGGGATAGTTAGAAACATCTATGAGAGAGAATCATCAGTCAGCTGCCTCTTGCACACCCCCTCCTGGGGATGTACCTGCAACCAAGGTACATGCCCTTGACTGAAATCGAACCTGGGACCTTTCAGTCCACAGGCAAACGCTCTATCCACTGAGCCATACCGGTTTGGGTAATACTTCTTTTTTTATTGCTCCCATTCATTTTTTTATTATTTTTCTTGAAGATTGGATGCAGAGTCTAATTAACCAGATTCTTCAATGCTTGTCACTAGTCAATGCTGTCATCTTCAGTCAGTGCAA